GAGGAATCGGAGCCGACGGGAAATGGGGAGCGCTCGCACTGAACGGCGTCCCAGTGCGAGCAGGGGAGCTGAGACGCGCGGACCCAATTGGTGATGAGGACTGCCCCCTCTTTCAGATGAGAATACGCATCTGGGGGGTGAGGTCCGGAGGGGAGGCGCAGCTGCGGGCGCTGCTGGACTCAGGCTGCATACATTGCCTGATGCACCCAGCTGTAGTCTCAGGGCTCGGCCTGCAGCTACAACCGCTCCGAGAGCCCATCGCATTCAGCCAGCTAGACGGCTCGCTAGCTGGGGGGAGAGCCGGATCAGTGCTACACCGAGCCGGTCCAAATGACGATCGGGAGTCACCGAGAAGAACTGAGGTTCGTGGTGGTCCCGATCGCCGACTATATGGTGGTGCTCGGCTTGGCGCGGCTGCGGCGGCAGAACCCGCGTGTCGACTGGACGGCGGAGGCAGTGTGGTTCAAGGACGAGGAGCCAGGGAAACGTGAGGGCAGGAGGGCCGGCAAGTGGTGATGATTGGAAGCGCGGCCGCAAGCGGGCAGACGGAGGATCCGAGGCATGGGGAGGCGAGGCAGGAGCAGACCGAGGTAGGAACCCGGGCGGCGGCAGCAGTAACAGCGGTTCCGGAAACCCGAGGGTCAGTTGCGATACTGAGGCATATGCAGGCGACGGCAGCCAGCGGGACTGCGGCAGAGCACGGGTCAGGACCAGGAGAAACCACGGCGACCGGTGGCATTCCGAGGCAATACCGGAGCCTGACGGCGGCATTCGGCAAGGAGGAATCCGACCAGCTCCCACCACACAGACCCAGTGACTGCGTCATTGAGCTGCCCAAGCCGAAAATGTACTCCCTATCGATGAAGGAGATGGGTGCCCTTCGGGAGTTTATAGACAAAAACCTTACGTGGGGATTCATCCAACCCGCAGTCACCGCTAGCGGCCCCGGTACTATTCCAGGAGAAGGACGGCTCGCTCCGGATGTGCGTGGACTACCAGGGGCTGAACGCAATCAGCACCGAGTACAACTACCCCCT